GGCGCGGGGGGAGCGGCCGGGCCGGGTCACGGGGCCCACGCCGCGCGCGCCGCCACCGCGCCCTCTGGCGGCCCGGCCCCCTCACTGCCTCCGCTGCGCCGAGATCGCGGGTTCGAGCCCCGGGTCCGGACAGGTCCGGAGCCGCCTCCGGGATTGCCCGCGGTGCGCAGTCGGGGGTCACCGCCGCGCTCTGCAAAGCTCCTCCGCCTCCCGCTGGCACACTGTGGCACTGAAAACACCTGAATTGAATGTATTGAACTCGGGAAGGGGGAGGGGGATTTTAGAATATCCTGGGGGGGATATTAGAAAAATATCCACCCCAGCGTATGGTCGGACACTGGAACAGCAGAGACTGTCCAGCACTCCTGCCCAGTCTGGCCATGCTTCCATCTCTCAGATTAAGATGGGAATTAATTTTCCCTTTTTGCTGTCAAGAACTTGCACTTCCAGCATCCCAGCCTCGTGAATTCAGTGCGGGGGTCCTGGCATCCCCCTCCTGGCAGCTGGTCCATTTCGGTCCTCGCTTTGCAGCTCTGGAGCTCACTCAAAGCTTGTGGCCCAGCCCAAGGATGATGATCTCTGCAGCACACAGGACAGGGGGAGACGAAGCTCCTTCTCATCCCTTGGCTGTGGAACAGCTTCCCAATAATTTAGTGAACCGCTATTCTTGTTTCAATAACCATTAGAGAGCCTCCCGGCAAACCCTGAAAGTGTTACCACAGCAGAGAACACTGACATCTGCCATGTCTGTGCTTATTGCCCAGCTCCCAGGAAGGCAGGAATGCCGTGGTTTTTTTTAGGCTTTAAATCCTTTAACCCTGGATGATCTGTCTTTGTTAGTGCGGTGCCCTAATCCCAGCTGGAGCCCTTGTACACTACTCTAATATAAATATTTATTAGCTGGCTCAGCCTGCAGGGCTGTGCTTTCGCCTGCATGGCATGGCTGTTTCTGGGGAGCAGCAGGGTGGTTTCTGAAGGCTGGGTTTCCTGTAGGAAGGGTTTGAGCACTGGGGGAAAACGCTGAAGGATCCTTCCCTGTTTAACTATTGCTGTTCTTGCTCACTCTGTGCCATCTTTAAGGTTGCAAAAGCAGTGAGAAGGTGGATTTGTGTCTCCAGTATATTCATAAGCCACTTTGAACCATATGGCCCTTAATGGCCTGGGATTTCTAGACACTAGTACAGCAAAATTAAAAAAAAAAAAGTTTACAACAGAATGGAAAAAATCCTCTCTGCAAATGGTGTTCCACACTACCCTCTAGAACAGATCTATAAGAAATGCTGGAGGGACTGGAGTCACCAGGTGATGCTTTCATGCTCCCATATTTTCAGACACCAAACTCACAAACTCCGTATTTTTAAACTGCTTTTTATTGAAATGTAGTACATTAGCAAACCCTAACTAGTCGGTATACACTATGAACATACTGGCATATACCACGTAACTACAATACAGTGTTATACTTACATCAAAACATGTCAACAAGTTCTGCTGCTGGCAAGCTACACTTCCACAGGGGCTGGAGAGCTCTGGCTGTCGGGAGGGCACTGTGTGTCCCTGTGTCCCCACAGTGTCCCCAGACCCCTGGCAGCTGCTGGCGTGTTCAGGTTACCTGGTCACACCGGTGTGACCCACCTGGCAGCAAGCCAGTTCCAACAGACTCTTCATTTTACACACGCAAATTGGGGTTTTTTGTTGTTGTTTGCTGCAGTCTCCTGTGCCCAAAGGCTGAGGGGTTCCCTCTCTGCTGAGATAAAATGATCCTGTTTTGTGGAGTCAGTGCATAGTTAGCCATGGCCTCTGGCAGGTGATCCTGGACAGGCATGGTCATCCAGAGAAGCTTTTAGGATTTAACATCTACTTGCAAACAGCAGCAGGGCTGATGGGACAAGCAGAAGAGCGATGCTACCACTCCTTTTGCTCCAAAAGGTTATTCCCCTTGATAGCAGCAGTGTGACAGACCTTACCAGTGCTGGGAGCTAAGCCTAGGCATACAGGGTGGGGAAGTCTGCCTGCTGATGTGGAGGCACAGGGAAAGTCTCTCTTTCATGTAGCACCTTCCAGCACAAGCAGAAAGCAACAGGTTGGGGCGCTGCCTTGCTGGGACCTCATGAACCCGCACCAGGAGCTTTGCTTTGACAGCCCCAAACACTCTATTAAACATTCCTGGCTTAACAGCAGCAAAGAACAAGTTTACTTTCACGCCCAGACTTTCCTGTGGTGGAGCATAGGAGGGTTGCTGAGCTGTTTTCTGTATGATCCTCCCTCCCAGCGCAGCCCAGTCTTACTGCCCGAGACAGTGTGAGGGTGTTACAGACACAGGCACGGGGGATCCACAGCAAATCTGATGATCTATGCCTTAACATAGCCCAGCAGAGCTGCTCTGCTGGGAATTAATGGCTCTTGTCCCCCCCGAGGGGTTTGGGCAGCTGAAGATCAAGTCAGAGCCATGGAAAGGCGAGCCCTGGAGTATGTGAGAAGCAGCAAAAAAAAAAAAAAAAAAGGCAAATGGCATATAAATGCACACAGCTGAGCTCAGAAAAAAGAATAAAAGCTCCTGGCTCCTGAGGGGCTTCTAGATACAAGTGGAGAAAGGAATAGCCCAGCAGGAGCGAGGGAGTCTTCACACACATGTCCATCTGATTTCTGGGGGGCAAACACCCAGTCCCAGCTGTATGACACTAGCTAATGTTACACCTCAGTCTTGCATTGAAATCACTCTAAGCAGCTTCAATTTTCAATAAAACACTATGTAGTTCTTACTTTGTAGGAATATTAATACTTAACTATTAACTCCTTAGGAAAGGGACTATTTTTGGGCAACAATTTATGCCACAGGGCCCCCAGGCTCAGAGACCCTGGACATTATTGCAGTAAGAAAGAAAAAATATTCAGATGTTATTGCACAACCTACACATCCATTTCTGTTCATGTGAACATCTCCATGAGGCTGATGGGCAGAAGAGCAAAAGGATGCTCCATGTAGTGATCCAGGGAATGAGCATCCCACAACAACAGCCCAGATCCCACACACCCTGCTTTGGCTGAGCACAGCCCACCAGGAACCTCTGTGCTCCCACAGACCGTGACTGGTCTGGAGTGATGCATCCCCTTGGAGGGGCTGGCTGGCATGGTGATGGCACAGTGAGGTGATGGCATAGTGATGAAGAAGATGCTGGAGAACAGGTGGACAGCAGTGCCTGCACAACAGGGACCTTCACCCAGCTCTCCAGAGGAGAAGGAAGCCAGTAGGAACTGATGGAGTGGAAAGGTAGAGATTAGAATTAAAAGTGTCTGGGAATGTTGCAGGCTTTTAAAAAGACTAGGTTAATGAAAGATAGATAACAAGGTGTCAATTAGTGGTGCTTTGCAAAGGCTCTGTGACCAGATTTCATCCCCCAAAAAAGCACTTTGCAAGCACCAGGTAAACCTGACACGCCCTTGTGAATTCGGGGTTTTTGGTCAACATCTCAGGACATCACTGGCTGGAGGTTACAGAGCATTATGGCTCTGCACCAGGAGCAAAATCCCATCTGGAGTCCTGCTCTTATCACTGCATCCCACAAGGAAGGGGTAGGGAGCACAGCTTTTTCTCTTAATTATTTCAAAGACAAGGGGAAAAAAGCAGAAATGAGCACCAGCATATTGAAGTGCGGTCTACCTCTCCCCTGATTTCCCCCCAGTCTGTTTAGTTGGAACATCTTTCCCTCTCTCACTCCCTCCCCTGCTCACCAGTTTCCACCGAGTGTGCCAGAGCTGAGGCTGCCCTGCAGTGCAAGTCTAGCAGGGAAAGGAAAAAGTGAAGATATCTTTAAATATAACAACACATATGCAAGCTGTCATGGCACATCACACACTCTTCTGCACCGCTCAGGCTGGAAAATTAGGTCAAGTATGGCTGGGTAACACAGGGTGAAAAATGAGCAAAAGCTTTACTTGGGAATTTGAAGGTGTTTCCTGAGGTCTCTGCCCTGAGCTCTCCTGTCCTTCTCTCCCCACCCTGCAGGGCTGGCAGCAGCCCCGTGGCTCTTGCCTTTGCCCCACTGTGCCTCGGCTTCTGAGCTGCTCTGCTATTTCCTGTGCTGTAAAAAACAAGTTACTATTAGCTAAGCAAAATAACAAATATTTTTAATAATTAAGTCAACTCACTTGCCAGTAATCAGGCTGCAGAGCTGCATGAACTTCAGCTCAACCCTGGTGCCTTCATCCTTCAGCTCATGAACTGACTGTGGCACTACCTCAAACCTAAATTGGACTGAACAAGTCCTGGAGCCCCAGCGTGACCCATGTGACCCATGTTTCCTGCAGAATTCCCTCTGCTTTCCAGGAGCTGGTAAAAAGTTTGGCTCTCCCAAGCCTTTGCAGTATTTTACATGAATGTGTTTAAAGAAAATAGATGTGTGAAAGTCTCATAATATAGTCCTAGACATGTTTATTGAACTGGTTTTGGTTTTCTTTGGCAATGCAGGACACCTGGCTATTCCTACAGCATCCTCAGGTGCCAGGGCAAGCATCCTAGAGCAATGGGACAACGCAGATTCCAACACATGAGCTCACTGGAGAGAGCAATTGTGAGGGTCGTTAGGTAAATTTTAACATGCTTCAAATTTAATAATTAATGTTGTGTATTATAGGTAAAGAGCACACTTACAGTCTGGTTTCTTACTGGCAATTATCCTCTAAGAACACAAGCAAACCTTGATTTTACAAATGTCTTATGGGAACATGCAAAACTTTCCTAGAAAAGGAAGCTGAGAAAGAGAAGGCAAAGTGTTGGGGTTTAAATACTGTAGGAAAACACTTGGAGATAAAAGCTTTTTTTTTATACGTAGAAATCATAAACGGAATGTTTTCCTGTTAAAAAAAGCAATTTTTTTTAACCTTGAGAATGATTTTCCAAGTTACTGGCACTTACAGTGCTTGGTAGGTTGCCGTATATTTTACTTCTGTGAAATGACTCAACCACACACAGCACCACTGCAGCAGAACAAGAACAACAATGCTCATCAAGCTTTTTTTATATACTGATTAATATTAAAAGGAAAACCTCAAACTTACCAGCACAGCCCAGAAAAAATCACCCATGTTGCTGTGGTGCCTCTTCCCCATACTAAATATGACTAACTGGGGAAGGCCTGCTCCAGCACGTCCTGGCACTCACGTAGGGACTGATTGCTTGAACAAGCTTTTAATTTTTCCAGTGTTGCAAGATATCCCAAATCCAGGATGTCTATTACAAATACCTGCTCCCCTATCCAAGATCCTTCAGCACAAATCCATTTTTACATTGCTGTGCCAGATCCTGATCTCCACTGACACAAACCTGCCCTCCTGTTGCTTAAAGCCAAGATATTCAGTTAGAAATAAGATTTAACAGAATACAAACAACAGTGTTATTATTTTGTCTTTGGGGGGGGATTTGTGCTTTCTAATTTTTAATTTTCATGCCTCTTCTAGCTTTTCTGTATATTCTGGCACACAGCTCGTGCAAATGGTCTCAGTTGGAGCTGAGAAATCATCAGCTTTGGTTTTGTGCTGAAACTGTGTCCCAGTGACATTCCCGGTGGCCTTAGGGGAAATCCCTCTGTTGGGATGGGGCAGCCCCTGTGAGAAGGATTTGCTTGGGGTGTCAGCACCTCATGCAGTGCTACAAGAGCCTGTCCTACCCAAAACCCCACCGGAGCAGCTCTGTGCTGGCTGGAAGACAACAAGACATGTTGGCATTGAGCCAGGTAACCCAGGTATCTGGGTTTATCATAACCTGACTGCCCTCATGGATAAAACAAACCCCATAACATCCTTGAGAGACGGCGATTTTCCTCTCGGGCGTTTGCGTTCCCAAGGCGCCGCTCCCACGTGTCCCTGCTGATCTCACAGATGTAATTACAAAAACAGGGGCTGCTCAACCAGCCCTTCTGCTGCCCCTGAGCCCCGAACGGGTTCAGCTCAGCCAGGCTGGGATGGGGAGCTGTGCCTGGGCCTGGGTGCAGCTCAGCTAGGCTTGGATGGGGAGCTGTGCCTGGGCCTGGGTGCAGCTCAGCTAGGCTGGGATGGGGAGCTGTGCCTGGGCTCGCCGGCAGAGCCGTCGCTGCCTGCCCTGCACCAGAGGAGGGATGCTGACCACGACCTGCTGCTGCCCCAGCCCCTGTGGCACTTCCTGTGACCTTCACTTCTGCTTTGTAGGAGAAAGTGGGTGTCAAAATTGTGCTCTTAAAAAAGTCCGGGGCTTCAGCGCATTTCCAGAGTGAGCTGAATGGCAATAAAAGTGCATTTGGTAAATATCAGTGTGGGTATTATGAGAAAAACCTCCCTACACTTCATGCCACCCACTCTTGAATTATCAGATTAAATAAAGCTGACGCACAGCAACAAAAGTCAAAGCATGCTCGGCAAAGAGGCTCATTTCCTCATTTTACAGAGCTGGGTTTTTCTTTTTCTCTTGAACGTCCATGTTAAATACACAGCTGAACCACACTTCAGAAAAGGATATATGTTAAGCAGACTGCTATACAATTAAAAACATTATAAAGGAGGGGAAATTCCCCTGCTTGCAAAAGCAGGTGAAATTAAAGCATGGCAGGATAAGTCTTACCTTTCTTTTTGGCTTAACTGATTTCTCAAGATTCCTATACAGAGGGTGAAACTGTGTTTCACATTACAAGGACACAAATGAGTTTCTACACCTACAGTAACTCAGACTGCAATGGAGAAAAATCCAAACATTCATTAACAGCTATGCATTGTCCGGTAGGAAACGGTGGAGCAGAAGCGCTCACTCCTCCATGTCGGCTCATCTGAGGAACGCTGTGCATGACTTAGCTCCAGAGGTTCCTCTCTCGCTCTCCATTTCTGCATTGTTCTCTCAGAAGCTTGCAAACAATATCCATTTCCCCACCGCTTTTGTCACATGCTGGTAAAAATTGATTTTTCCTGCAGCGTGTCAAAGCAGTAGGTGCTTTCCTTTCTTCTCCTGCTTTCTGCATTCCCGTTATTGATGTCAGTGGGAAAGGGCACAGCTCAGAGAACGTATTTGTTAAATAACTGTTGCAGATCTCAACAGGAGAGTGGGATAAGAAGCTTACCTCTTTTCTTCTCTGTGTAATGCCAACATGCTGGCTTTTAAAAAACCTCAGTGAAAAATTTGGTGGATTTTTTACCCCCCACCCCCCAAAAAAAAAGTTACGTGAGAAAGAAAGCTTATTTGATTCCTGCATATTTCAAAAAGTCTAATGGTTTTTAGGTAGATCAAGTGCTGGTTCTGTGAATGTCCTCTCTACACAAAGAGACTCACTTGACTTCAGCACACAGAAGGACCAAAAGTATATTCTGTGTATACCATTTTTCTCCTGCTTCAATCAAATTGGAGAAAAAAAAATCCAAGCATCAAGTTCCTTGAAATCTTTCTGCAAATGCAGGTCCTCTCTGCAGCTTGAACATCAGACTGGCTTGCCACTGTCCGGGGTTAAGTGGGTTGTAGGAAACTCAATGCACTTATAAAGGTCCCTCTCAGAAGGGGCTATTTCACAGTAAGGTTATGGATTGACCAAGATATACGAGTGCTTTTACCAGTCACTGGCCATCTCCTCTACAACCAGTTCCCTTTCTGACATTGCCCAACCATCTGGACAACTAAAAAATTGGAAACAGCAGATGCCTGTGTAAGGGACACATTTGCAGTTCAGCACAAACTCTTAGGGCCACCGTAAAACCTCTCCTGCATCGCCGCGGCTGGGCCGACACAGCTCCCCATGCTGTTACTCAGCAATTTCCATCAGACAACCTTGCTTGTCACAGCTCTTTGTCACCTCAAAGATGCCACCCTCAGAATCCACCACAGCTGGTCTTCGTCTGTGCAAACGAGAAGGCGGGTTCGTGTTCTGGAAAAAGCAGCTCTTCTTCAGACAAAGGAGATCCATGGAAAGAGTACACAACAATAGGAATGAGAAATGAAAAAAACGGAAAAAGGGCCAGGAAGGAGCATGGATTCCTTTCAGGTTTTGTTCTCGTCGTACATGTCCAAGGCAGGCTCGATGGTTGAGAACTCGCTCTCGTAGACCAGGCTTCGAGGGGACAGAGAGTTACGATGGAAGAAGTGACTGCCTGCAAGAGGTAGAACAAAACCACATTAGCAACACACATGAACAATGGAGGAACCGAGTAAAGTATCCTCATACCTGTGTGATGGATGCAAACACAGTACACATGGAAAAAACAGCCAACCTTCAACACAAAGCAGTAACGACCATATGAAACATTTCACCTCTGTACCTCTGCTCCCCAGCCAATTTAAAGCAACTGCTTTCCATATGCATGAACAGTCACACCTCAAATGGCTCTTTCAGATAAGAGGTCAAGTCTGAGCAAGGCTGGGGCAGGCCGGAGTTTTGCACTTGGTGCTGGCTGTTGATTTACAGCCTTGTAAAGCAGGGATGTGCTTCCTCAGAAGACCCTGAAATCTCTGGTCAGCACCCAAGTGCTGTGCCCTGCACCAGCACAAAGTGCTTCAGCTCAGGGTCAAAAGGAAGGAGGAGGCAGAGTGGGGGGCTCCCCAGGGGTGATCCCATCAATGCTGCTGGAAGCCTGACCTCCTCCAGAGCTCACCAAACTCCATGCACATGAGTCACCATCTAGAAACAGCCACCTATGGATTTCCTTGCACATAACCAACCCTCTTTTCACTGGCAGTAACCGAAACAAGCACCACATGGCTGTTGGTAAGTGGGGAGTGGAAGTCTTCTTTTTTTCCTTGGTGGCCTGGCATTCCCGTGGCTCTCTGAATCCACAGATGTGTTTTTGCAAAGAGCCCAGCCCTCCTGCTGTACAAATGATTCTCTCTGAAAGCATCTATCATCAGATCAGGCCCTTGGCCAAAACACTTCATTACCTGGTTTCTCGATCCCAGGGGGGATTAGCTGGGAGCAAGGCTGCTTAGATTACAACAGCTACATGAGCCAAACTGGAGGCAACTGAAAAGCTTCCAAGTACATCAAAAAGGCATTCAGCAAACTAAGGTGCCTCCAGTTTCAGGCATCAGTGAAGCAAGATGCTTAGGGAATTGTAGTTTTAGCCCTGGTAGATTTTAGCTGCTTAAATCCCCCTTTCCTTGCCAAATTTTGAGCCCAGCCTACCCCATTCTGAAATAAAGACCTTACAGAAGACATAAGAAAATAAGAATTCAGTTGCTACTGTCCAAAACGCCTTTTCTCCTTTCCCATTCACCCAAAAGACACAGACTTTGTGTGCCCTTTGCTAACAAGTGCCCAGCAGGAAAAAGGAGTTGGGCAATGGATCTGCTCCTCTTTCACAAGCAAAAGTCAGTGCACACACTCATTCCACCATTTGCAGTGAGAATGGGAAGTTGTCATAAGCAAATTAATTTTGGATCTTTTAGTTAACTAAAACAAGAGTGAAATTACTGGTTACTTTGCAGTGGGTTGTTGACTCTGCAAGGAGCATGTATCCAGGTCCTTGGACCAAGGGGGCTGTCTTGGAATATACTTCCAGAAGCAGTTGGTGGGGAATGATAAACACCCATTTTCTGGATCTGAACCATCCCCCAAATTTACAGGTTTTTAAAACTGGGCAACGATTAAAATAAAAGCAAATAAATAAATAAATAAATAAATAAAGGTTGAATGTTTAAGGAAACATAAAGTTGGAACTGTGACTTCCAGAGATTATCATGGTCTATCTCCAACAGCTGGACTTGATGACCTTAGAGATCTTTTCCAACCTTAATGATTCTATGATTCAAGCAAATAAACCCCAGACCCTGAACCTGCTTTGAAATTATACCAGATAAAACTGATTTCAAGACTGTGTTATGGGTTAGGACCATTTACTTTTTGATGATTAAGTCTCATTTTGCAGCTGAAATAATCTGTGAATATTGAATATTTCATCCCCCATTTCTCCACCTGCTGCAATGTTACACACAACCAATGCTCAAACAAACCAAAGGGATTCTAAAAGCTTGGTGCTGCTTTTGTTTTTGTTACACAGAAATCAAATGTGGAATTAGGAAGCAGACAGCCCAGGCTGTCATTTCCTGTGTGCACCCAGACTTCCACTCTAGCAGGTTGGAGGGAGAGATTTAATCAACAGGCAGAGCAGGTCATCTGACAACAAGTATTTTATATTAATCTGGAAATAGACAGTGTATATAAAACACCTCTAAAATTCTTTACTCTGACGTTTTTGCCCTTCTTGGCAAAGGAAATTTAAACCACCCACTTCCAGGAAGGCTTCATGTTCCCATAGAGATAGACATCTCTTGGCTTCCATACCATTTTTGAGACACATCGTTCATTCTTTTCTCAATTGTCTCCTCTCCCATCCAGTGCAGCCAGCCCAGAGCTGAGACTCCAGCTGCTGCTCAGTGTTTTCCACCACTCAATCTTCAGGTGCTCCATTAACCACGTCAGGAGCATTGCCCACAGCTTCCGGCTGGAGCAGCAGGGCACAGTGACCCAGCCATGCTCCTCTTAATGCAGAAAATTGCTACTGTTTGTTTAAATATGTGGTGTTGGTCCAGCTGATAAATTTACTGAATAAATGTATTTAAGGACAAGTAAAAACATCCGCAGTTCCAAATTCAGCTTATGAATCTGTTCTTCATATTTTGCACTTACCAAGAAAGATCAAGATTTATCCCTTAGGTACAGAAAACAAATGGGAAGGTTGCATGCAGTTTTAGACACAGTTTTAGACATGAAGATGAATCCTTCAGTGCTCTATGGCACTATTCTTCATTACATGCTTTAAAAGAACTTTTCAGATAACTTGCATTGAGTGTGAAAATAAACATACTACCCTGGAATTGATCTTTATACTTACCACAGGATGCCACCAAAGCGAGGACAAGACCAAGGCCAAAAACTCAAGAGACACAGCACTGCAGGTGCACCAGGGTTAAGCATCACCTGGTGTTCCCTTTCCATCTGAAAGTGTCTTAATGCCCTTAGTCATTAATCAGGGTCATCTTCTGCCACAAGCTGCAGCCCCTTTCCACAGCTCCTCCAGCAAAGACTCCTTACTGTAGAAATCTGATCAGAGCACTCCCTACCTAATCTGTTTTAGACACCCTCTCAGTTAAGGAACAGAATGGAACTATTTCATAAAGCACACTTTCCTCAAAGCCAGCTTAGCAGGAAGACTTTAAGGCAACTGCTTTCCATATGCATGAACAGTCACACCTCAAATGGCTCTTTCAGATAAAAGAGGTAAAGTCTGAGCAAGGCTGGGGCAGGCTGGAGTTCTGCACTTGGTGCTGGCTGTTGATTTACAGCCTTGTAAAGCAGGGATGTGCTTCCTCAGAAGACCCTGAAAGACGTGGTGGGATGACTGGCACAACTGGAGAGCTGCAACAGATGGCTAAAAATTCTTCCAAAGGGAAAAGCAAGGAAGGAGACTCCTTGGGGTAGCCCTGTGTTGCTCACAGAGCCACTTCCCATGACTGACCAGCAGTCCCGGCTACCTGGGGAGGTCCCAGCTGCCTGGAGGTCAGCAGATGTGACACCCAGCTACAAGAAGGGCTGGAAGGGGGGTCTGGGAAACTGCAGGCCTGTCAGCCTGACCTTGGTGCCAGGGAAGGCCATGGAACAGATCATTTTAGTGCCATCACATGGCACATCCAGGACAAGCAGGGGGTCAGACCCAGCCAGTGTGGGTTTAGGAAAAACAGGTCCTCTTGACCAACCTTGTCTTCTGTGACAAGGTGACCCACTCAGTGGATGAAGGAAAGGCTGTGGATGTGTCTACCTGTACTTTGGTAGAGTCTGACACCGTGTCCCAAAGCACTCTCTTGGAAACTGGCTGCCATGGCTTGGACAGGTGCACAATAGATGGGTTAAGAACAGGCTGGATGGCTCGGCCCAGAGAGCAATGGGGAATGGAGTTACACCCACAGGGCTCAGAACTGGGGCCAGCCCAGTTTAATGTCTTTATCAACGATCTGGATGAGGGGATTGAACACACCTTCAGTCAGTTTGCAGCCAACACCAAGTTAGGCTGATCTTCTGGAGGGCAGGAAGGCTCCACAGACAGATCTGGATAGGCTGGATCAAGGTATTTAAAAGATACAGTTGCGGCACTTGGGGACATGGTTTAGTGGTGGGCTTGGCACTGCTGGGTTAATGACTGGACTTGATGATCTTAGAGGGCTCTTCCAACCTAAGTGGTTCTATGATTCTGTGAAAAACTTTGGGGATTTCCTTCTGTCTATCCAGAGTAAAAAAAAAAAAAAAAAAAAATTTCTGGGATGATGTAGAGTCCATCTTTGAACATATTTATTTCATTAACAGATAAACATGCACTGATTGCCTGACCTCTAAGCAACCTATCAAAAGCTGTATCATTATTAACACTTTGTTGAGACAACTGTTAGAGGCTCAAAAGAAAAACTGGAAAAGATGACGCTGAGTTATTTAAATCTTCCATGGAGGGAAATGCACTAAAAAGTCCTGTCAACCCTTTTGTTCCAAATATCACTCAACTTCTCCTTCTGCTTCTGTTCTGAAGAAGAAACATGAACTGGAACTATTGTGGTGCCTTTTGCATCTGGGTCACTGCACTGCTCACGTGGTCCCTGCCCAATAGCATTAAATAGCACTTATGGAATTTTGCTTCAGGAGACAAGCACAAACTTATCAGTTTTACTACTGCTGTTGAGAGATGAGTGAAGAAAACATGTATCATAGCTTGTTCCCTAAATCATGCTCTAACCACATTCCTCCACTTTTGGCAACAACACTCAGTTGACACATTGCTGTACGTTACAAGCACACAGCCCTCAAACACAGAATGTTTGAGGTTTTTTTTCTTCTCATAAGTAAGTCTAATGGGGTTTTCCAGTCTTTCAAAATGCACTTACTGCTCTATTGATTTGTTTCCATATTTCTTTCAGAATTTCACAAGGACGTACTGAAGAAGAATTCTATTAAATGCACTGAAGCTATCACATTCTTCACTGCTTATTATAAAAGCTGCCTTCTCAGCTGAAGCCTGATGGACAAATAAGAATCAAGAAACTATTTTAATGTAGCATCTGGCTATGTTCCTAAATTCTAAAAGTGCCTATACATAAAAATAAAATTAAATTA